AGCCGAGACTGCACCACTGCACTCCAGCCTGAGTGACAGAGTGAGACTCAGTCTTAAAACAACAACAGGGCCAGGCGCAGTGGCTCATGCCTGTAATCCCAGCACTTTGGGAGGCCGAGGCGGGTGGATCACGAGGTCAAGAGATCGAGACCATCCTGGTCAACATGGTGAAACCCCGTCTCTACTAAAAATACAAAAAATTAGCTGGGCATGGTGGCGCGTGCCTGTAATCCCAGCTACTCAGGAGGCTGAGGCAGGAGAATTGCCTGAACCCAGGAGGCGGAGGTTGTGGTGAGCCGAGATCACGCCATTGCACCCCACCCAGCCTAACAAACAAGAGCGAAACTCCACCTCAAAAAAAAAAAAAAAAAAAACAATAACAACAAACCCTAGGCTGGGGCAGGAAGCAGAAGCAGAGAGGTCAAAGAGGAGGAACAGATTTGAAAAAAAGGACGGAGGTAGAATCTACAGGACCAGTCCCAACTCAACTGAGTGAGGGAAGGGAGAGCGGGGCTGAAAGCAAACATCCTGGCTGAGCACAGGGTGATGCCATGGGTGGTACTGAGGAAACAAAGAGCAGGGTGTGGTGGAGAAGCTGAGTGTGAGGTGGAGGGGAGGGCCGCTCCAAGAGCCCCGTGAGCAAGCTGTGCACAGGACACGAGCTGTGTGTTTGAGTGGGAGAGTCACGCACAGAGAGATAGAAACGAGCCTAGGATGGGCAAGCTCTCCCGGGGCACGCGCTCCGTCCGGGGACTCTCTTCCTTGGATGGACCTTCCAGTCCCTCGGGAAACTTTTAGAAGCAGACAGGAACCTGGACTTCCCTGCCATCTCCTCCCACCAACCACAAAGAGATTCCGACTCAGAAAGGTAGCCTGAGGCCCTATATGTGACTTGGCTCTTATACTTGTAAGAAAAGAAACCCACCTCAACTGGCTTGAGCAGAAGGGACTCCTGTCACCAGGCTTCTTGGTACAGTTTGATTGAAGGATTTTGAGAATGTCTTCAGGACTCAGTTGTTCTCCACTCTGTTTGCCTCCGTGTTGACTTCATCCTCATTTATCAATAGTGGCAAGACACCTGAGGCAGCTCCAGCGCATCCCTTTAGAAAGCCCTTCCGAGAAGATAGCTGTCGCTCCCAGTCACTCCAGCCTGACTCTCACTGGCCTGAACTGGGTCACATGCCCTCTCTGACCTAATGACAGTAGCCAGGGAGAGATGAGAGAGGCTAATTGGTGAGGTTAGCTCCCATTCATAGGCCAGGTATAGAGTTAACCCCACCAGAGTCATATGGCCTGGGAGAAAGAAGGTTTCCCAAAGGAAACTGAGTCACATGAGTCACAGTTACTAGGAAAAGGGGGACTAGGCTCAGGGCGAATAAAATGACAGGTGTTGGCTCTCTTATGGCCTCCACAGGGGACCTGGGGCAGGTCCTGGCCATGGAAGATTTCCATGGGAAAGAAATGGGAGAGCCAGGTCAAGAGCCATGGGCAGAACAGCCAAGCAGAGGACAGAGGACCCGTGGCAGTCCTGAGGAGGGCTGACCTTCATTTTTGTCATGGGGGGCAGAAGAGGAGTCTTCGGGGAAGCCTGAAAAGCCAGTGGGAGAGACAGTGGGAGTTGGCACAGCGGGGCCTCGGAGATGCCACGGTGGCAGTTTTGGTTTGAGGAAGGAGTTTGATGTTGTCAAAGCCACAGTGAGAGGAAGAGAAATAGAGTCTGCTCAATAAGAATGGGCTGGGAGTGAATGGCAGGATTTTAAGGTGTAGAAAACACCTTAAAGGGTTTTTCTCAGGAGAGAGAAGGGTGGCCTTCCTGGCAGAGGGTCTAGCAGGTGCAAAAAAGTGGAAAAACACAGAAAAGACTTGAAGAACCTACAGGTTGTATGCCTGGGGCATTTTCATTTTTATCCAGGTGCATAGCCAAGACCACAGTTCAAAACCAAAGTCTTTGGGTTAGCATTGGAGGCCGTCTCCTTGCTGCAAACAAGAAAATCTATTATCTGGGTGTTTTTCCTGAGGCATCTGAATCCTCACCTTCCTTCTGGAAGCCCTGAAGCACCTTTTGTGGTCTTACACATTTTGTGGATTTTCACTATTCTGCCTTTTGTGGTGGTTGTATGTGAATATGACTTATCTTCCTTAATCAACTGTTTTTAAAGCTCCTGGGAGGCACTCTTTTCACCTCAGTGTCCCCAGGTCCTGGCCCCCACCTATGAAGAAAGAAGGGTTCAAGAGAAGCCACATGAGCCTGTAACTTTGGCCTGGGGTAGACAATGCCCTACATGAAGGAAAAATCTCCCAGAGTAAGAATTCCAAGCAGTGCAGGAAGAAGAGATCGGGCCCTCAGCCCACAGCCTAAGTCCTGCTGCTCGCAAGCTGCTACCCTCAGCTATCAGTTGGGGAAAAATGGAGGTTAACTGTGACCCATTTGCCTTCTCTGAGATGGAAACTTCTTCCTGTTTCACAACTGGGAGGCCAGAGCTAGCTGTGTCTGAGGCGGCCCTAGCAACCATGAGCTCCTAAGAAGGAAGCTGATGCCCTTTATTGAGTGCCTGCTGTGTGCCAGGCACTGTGTTCAGTGCTTAACATGCATTCCCTCATCGGTTCTCCCAGATGGGTAGGTGCTTTTTTTTTCTTTTTTTGAGACAGAGTTTTGCTCTTATTATCCAAGCTGGAGTGCAATGGCACAATCTCTGCTCACTACAACCTCCACCTCCAGGGTTCAAGCGATTCTCCTGCCTCAGCCTCCCGACTGGCTGGGATTACAGGCGCCCATCACCACATCCGGCTAATTTTTTGTATTTTTAGCAGAAATGGGGTTGCACCATGTTAGCTAGGCTGGTCTAGAACTCCTGATCTCAGGTGATCCACCCGCCTCGGCATCCCAAAGTGCTGGGATTACAGGCATGAGCCACCGTGCCCCGTGGGTAGGTACTTTTATTATCAGCCTATCTTATAAATGAAAAAACTGAGGCTCAGAAATGTTCAGTAACTTCCACATTGACAAAAGTGAGATTTGTACCCGGTTTCCCTGACTCCAGAGTCCCCCTGGAAGCTCCAGGGTTTGCAATGCTGGGGTCCCGTCAGGCTAGCCCGGCACCCTCCTCCTCCAGCTCCCAAGGATGCTCCAGCTCCAAACTGTTTAGATTTCACTTCCTGAGCATTCCTGAGGGTCTCCAAAGCCCTGAAAGAGAAAAGATCAGTTTGCAGAATAAGGAGGGAATGAAACGAACTCTCTACCTCAGTTCCTCCATTCAGACTAGCCTGGGAGGCGAGTTGGGGAAGTCCTAAGTCCCTGAATTTCCTGGCCGGTACCTCCCAGTGCAGAAACTCTCCAGCGCCCCCTGGTGCTCTTCAACACCATCGGCTTTCTCTCAAGGATTGCTCTGTAGAGTGGACTGCGACATCCCATTTACGTTTATTATGCATGATCTAAGTATTTACTTTGTTACAAGTCCAATACACACTATTAAATGTGCCATATTCAGCCGGGCGCAGTGGCTCACGCCTGTAATCCCAGCACGTTGGGAGGCCGAGGCAGGTGGATCATGAGGTCAGGAGTTCTGAGACCAGCCTGACCAACATGGTGAAACCCTGTCTTTACTAAAAAATACAAAAATTAGCTGGGTGTGGTGGCAGGCACCTGTCATTCCAGCTACTTGGGAGGCTGAGGCAGGAGAATCACTTGAACCCTGGAGGTGGAGGGTGCAGTGAGCCGAGATCACACTACTGCACTCCAGCCTGGGTGACACAGTGAGACTCTGTCTCCAAAAAAAAAAAGTGCCACACTCTATTAGAAGCACACTGATACTGTATTATATATCAAGTTCCATCAGGCCAATGTAGAAAATGGGAAGTTTATACTGGCATGCCTTGTTATTTTGAAATGGAATCCCAACACCACTGCTGCCCCCACCTCCACTGCATATTTGAAAGGCCAGTCTTCTCTCCTCTGCCCGCTGTTCCAGGAAGGCAGGCTTTCTCCAAAAACTCAGTCCCACCACCTCATTCACAGGAATGTCAACAGGCACAAGGAGATAAAGTCTCTTGGGATACAAATGCTACTTAATGTGGGGGTTGAGGGAGGTGACAAAAGAAGAGAGGAAACTACCAAATGTCCTTCAGGCCACCAGTGTTTCTCTAGTGGAGTAAAGCAAATGACAGCAGGAGAGAGCCTGGTTAGCCCTAAGCCTCACGCAGGAATGGAGCCCGAGTTTGTGTAGGAATTGCTCACCTTTGATGACCGGGATGATTGAGGCAGGCTGGTCTCACCACAAGGGGATGGATGGCATGAGTCTCAGATCAACGACAGACAAGAAGGGGAGATGTCAGGACTGGCAGGCAGCCCCACTGAGCCACCTCTCAGATACCTGGAATAAGCTCTTCCGCTCAATTTTCAGTCTCTCATATTACATTAGGGCTTGATCCTGAAGGAGAAAAAGAGGTACCAGTTCTGCTCCCCGCTGGAGGGCTAACTTTTCACCCCAGAGTAAAGATGTGGTTGGCCGCCTGTACTGGAGGGGCTGCAGACCTCGAGAGGCACAGAGCTCCCAGTGAGTCGGTTGTGGGGGTGAAGGAAAAGGTAAGAGTTTGGGGATTGGGGGTAGTGGGGCAATGGCTGAAGGGATCAGGTAGTCCTGATCGGGACGTGGAGATCCACCCACAAGCCTTGACAATAACTCAGTCGGGTTCCTGAGGGTTCTCAAGGTCTGGAAAAGGTGGAGTGGTGCCTGCCCCACCGCCTCTGTGGAAGCAAACGAGCCCTCGGTGTGAATCCGGAGAAAGAGAGAGAAGTGTGGCCCCAGCTCCACTCCATACCCCCTTCCTGCCTATAAATAACCCCAAGTGTCACTTCAAAGAGGACGGAGAGCGCGGGAGAGGGGCTCCCGGCGGGCAGGCTGGGGCCGCTGGACCTGCTCACCACGCCCCCCACCCCAGGCCAGTTTGCATAAATAAACAAATCCAAGCCGTCCGCCCCGCAAGAGTTGGAGGAGGAGTGGGGAGGAGGAGGAGGAGGAGGGAGGGGGCGGGAGAGATTAGTTTGGGAAGTAGCACGGATTGCTCATCCGATCCGTGCAGCCGCAGCGAGTGTGTCAAGTTACAGAGGCGCCGGAATCGGCCCCAGCGCTCCTCGCCAGCCGCCACGACCCACCTCTGCCCATGGGGCCCTCCATGTGCGCCCCTTCGCCCGGGGACTGAAACTGGCTGGCCCGGGAGACACGAGGCTCCCAGAAGGACTGACAGCGCGGCACCAACTGCTCTGCAGACACTTGAAGGGAAAGACGGGGCGGAGAGAAGGAGAGCCGGTCAGATTCCCCTAACTTTCCTGGACTTGGAACGTTCTTCGAAATAACTTTTTTTCTCACCTAGGTGTGCCCCCAATTACCGCTGGTTGTGCTTTTTCGGCGCTTCCCCTCTTACTGCTAATTTTTCCGTCCTTTTTGCCGGGAGCAACGGAAAGGGACGTTTTCCAGCGATACAAGCCCTTTCTCCCTGCCCCACAGTTTGGATCGAGCCTTTTGGCAGCGGCTCTCGCCTTTATTTATTCTATTTATTTATTTATTGGTTCTCAAGACGTGAGAGGATGGTAGCGGAGCACACCCTCAAAGCGGCAGCCGCCGGTGCCCGCGGCCCTGGGGAGCTGGGCGCGCCCGGGACGGTGGCTCTGGCGATGGCGCGGGCGGAGCGCGGCGCGCGGCTGCCGAGCCCGGGGTCCTGCGGGCTGCTGGCGCTGGCTCTCTGCTCGCTGGCGCTCAGCCTGCTCGCCCACTTTCGGACGGCCGAGCTGCAGGCCCGGGTGCTGCGCCTGGAAGCCGAGCGCGGGGAGCAGCAAATGGAGACGGCTATTTTGGGACGAGTCAACCAACTGCTGGAAGAGGTCTGTGCTCTTTGTTGCTGGCTTTTATCCCTCCCCGCGGCGCCCTCTCGCGCAGCTTCCAGACTCTTCAGCCGGTGTCCGCGGGCGCTCGCTCTCTGCGAGCCCCGGATTCGCGGGGGACAAGGACACATGCTGCCCTGCCAGGGATCCGGAGGACCTGGTGGGCAAGAGCGTGGCCCCGCAACTCCTGTCCCCGGCAGGCGCCCCCGGCGTCCAGCTCTGGAAGCGCCCTGGGCCCGCCGCGCAGGTGGAGGAAGGCTGGGCGCGGAGGCGCGAGGCGGGCAAGCTCCGCTACTCCCTTTCGAGACCTGGCCCGGGTGGTGTGACAGCGGCCCCGCGCCCACGCAGCGGGAAGTGCGCCCGGCGGCCGGGCTGAGGCTTACTGAGGCCCCGTGGCCCTCCCCTTCCACCTCTCAAGGGCCTGAGGTGGGCGGGGAGAGGCGACAGTTCTTGCAGGGGGTGGTGCCCTGGTCCCTGTTCACTGGCCCAGGCTTCTAGGGTCCAAGTGTGGGTCGCCTGTCTCTGTCTCTGCTCTTCTTGGCCACAAATTAGTTCACACCTTCTTCTTGTTCCTAAACCAGGTTTCTTATTTTCCTGGAGAAAGGATGCTTTCTCCCATTCCCCAAATTTTCTTGATCCAAGTGGATTAAACGCTAGTGCGTCAGGTAGCCATGGCAATCTTGGGAACACAGGAAAAGGCTGTCCCCTCCCCAGGAAGGAGGGACATGCATCCTCTTTGTGCCAGCAGGGGAAAGGCTGGGCCTTGACAGGGTGAGGCCTGATGACCTGTGGGAATCTGGGCAGCACAGGAGACCCAGGGCCTAGATGGAGAGGAGGACAGGCAGGTGGGGGCCGCAGCAGTCTGGGAAGAGGTCCTGGAGCAGGTCCTGGCCATGGAAGGTTTCCATGGGGAAGAAATGGGAGAGGATCTCTTACTTAGCTGGAGACAGTGTGCAGCAGTAAAGATCATGGTGGTAGAGCCCAGCAGCCCTGGGTTTTTGTCTCCACTCTGCTACTTGGAAGCTGTGTGACCTGGGACAAACTCTCCAACCCCTTTGAACATGTGAAACAGTGCTGGTGTAGCAAACACTGAAGCACAGCCCTAACCGTGGTGGGTGGGGTGCTGAGAGCATTTTGGCAAGATGCATCTATTCCCTACAGCCAGGCTCCTCTCAGCTGCCTCTGCCAGGCTGGCACCTGCTGGAGCGGTTCTCCAGGGTGTCCAAGGAGAGGGAGATTGCAGGGCCAGAGCAGAGAGGGCGGTCACAGGGCAAGCTTACTGGTGCTAGTGGTGCACCCATGACTGCTGCTGTCAGCTCATTCCCACGCCCTGCCAGGCTCCAGGGAATACAGAGGGCTCAATCAGGCTCAGGCAGTGTGAGCCCAGACTGGCTGGGTGGTAAAGAGAGTGTCAGGGCAGTGAGAGCTCCTCCAGGTATCTTGGGGTTCCTGGCTGCTGAGGAATAAGTATCTGATTCTCATGGTTTAGCTCAGCCTCTCTCTTCATGCTCTCCCCTTCCCCGACCTTCCTGCTGGCCTGGCCGTGCCCTGGCCTTTCCCAGCTTCTTGCTTCCGCTGCTTCAGACTTAAGTTGCATACTCTCAGGGCCTTGTGCTAACTATTGTATCAAACATGCACACGCCTTCTCTCCAAGCTGCAGCTCCGCATTTACCCTACTGACTGTAATCTTTTCAACTGCTAGAGATGAAAATTATCCCAGAGATCTTCTGAACTGAACCCCATTTTTCAGATGGGGAAATTGAGGCCCAGAGTCACATGGTGACGTCCAGGACTAGAACCTCAGCCTCCTGGTCCCTGTATACATTGTTCTTTGCATTGTATTCTGCCACCTTTTTGGGGGGTCTATTCTCATTCATTCATTCATTCAGAAAATGTTTACTGAGAGCCTGCTGTGGGTCAGGCATTGTGGGAGACACCTTTGCCCTCCTAAACTTACAGGGAAGTAGTGAACAAAGAAGGAAACGGGCAGTGACTGTGTCGTGTGCCAAAAAATAAAATAAGTGCTACAATAGTGAAAGATGAGAGGGGCCTGGGGACTGGATTACATGCAACGTTGTCCGATGGTGGTGGCAGTCAGGGCAGGCTTCCTTAGGGAAGTGATTTTCAAATGAAAAGCTGAAGGATGAATAGGAGTTTGTCAGGAAAAAGCGGGTGAGTGTGAAGCCTTGTTCTAAGAGGGCAAAGGGAACAGCTTTTGAGGCTGGAAGCCAGCGGGAATTGGGAGAACTGAAGGAAGTCCAGAACCCTGGAGGACTGGGAGGGTAAGGAAATAGGAGATGTGGCTAGAGAGAGATGGCCAGCCCAGGTCGAGGGGCCTTAGAGAAAGTTAGATGTAAATAAGAGTAATGGGGAGCCATGGAAGGGTTTTGAAGTAGGCAGCTATGTCCTACTCAGTCCCTTGAGTGCTTACGGCTGGCAAAGCAGTAAGGCCAAGCAGGACGCTGCTGCGGGCCAGAGGGGACAATGAATGGGGCAAAAGTAGGTCAGAGAGGGGTGACTGGAAGTGGTGGCTGAGGTCAATAGGGGAAGGTGCTGGAGCCAGAGAAAGGGAGCTGTCCCACAGGTGGATGGGGTGAGTGGCCTTATCTGTGGGGGCCTTGTCTGTGCTTCTGGAGGGACACCCGAGGGTTGGACTGTCCAGTACAGTAACTGCTAGTCATATGCAACTCATTATATTTAAACTAGCTAAAATTAAATACAATTTAAATTTTAGCTTGTCTACTGCACCAGCCTGGTTTCAAGTGCAGTGGACAGTGCTGCTAGGGACTACAGAGCTAGACGTTAGAGGCAGAGAACACGCACATCCTCACCGAAAGTTCTATTGGTCGGTGCTTGAGCAACTTGAGGGGACCATCCTGGGTTCCCTGTCTAGGTGTGTTCTCCCAGGTCTGAGCAAAGGGCAGAGGAGAGGAATGGGTAAGGCAGAGAACTGGGACAGGCAGAAATCTGCCACGGGAGAGGAAAATTCAGAGAGGAAAATTCAGAGAGGAAAATTCAGAGAGGAAAAAGGGGAAATGGTTTTGTTACAAAACGAGTCTCTAGAATGGAGGTGCAGAAGGTCCCTGTCATCACGGGGCACACAGGCATCTGGTGAGCTTGGAGGCCCGAGACCAGGATTCTAGCCAGGCTTTGCCAGTCGTGTGGCTTTAGGCAAGCCATGCTACACCCCTGCACTTCAGGTTCATCCTCCGAAACACGTAGGCCCTGCCTCCCTTCTGGGATTGGGGGCAGATCAGAGATTTCACTAAAAGGTGCCATTACCAAAGCCCATGCACAAGGCCAGATGAGTGCGCAGGGAGAGCTCTCAGGGACCTGGGGCAGGGAATCCTTGGAGCAGGCAGGACTGAGCCACTTCCTGGAGAATGGGAGAAAGGCACTGGGGAGGGCAAGGCTGGTGAGGCACACAGCCTGTGCACTGGCCTGGGGGTGCAACTCCAGGGCACATGCCCCTCACCCATGCCAATAAGGAAAACAGGTACGGGGCAGAGACTGTGTCCATGAGGCAGAAGGAAGAGGGAGCTGCAGGGAGGTCTGGCCAAGGGGACCCAGAAGGAGAGGAGGCCTAAGAGGAGAGCCAGAGGCAGATCCGAGGGGAGCAGCCCCTAGCGGGGTTGGTGGGGAGCAATGCAGAGCCAGGATTGGAGGATGGTGGGAGCTGGCTCTGTGGGGAACCAGGAGTGTGCTTTCCAGACCTCAGGCCCCAACTCTTCCCCCATCAGTGCCTCTTTCCCGGTCTGGGACTCTTAACGAGCACTCCAGCTGCCTGTTATTTGATTTGCTTGCTGTGAAGAAAGAAGCTGGAATGTCCCAAATGGAGAAAATCAGATGACACCTAGGACTGGGCAGTGGTGTGCAGTGAATGAGAAGGGAGTGGAATTTAAAAGAGCCAAATCCTGGGTTGGGCACAGTGGCTCACGCCTGTAATCCCAGCACTTTGGGAGGCCAAGGTGGGTGGATCACCTGAAGTCAGGAGTTCAAAATCAGCTTGGCCAACATGGTGAAACCCCGTCTCTACTGAAAAATACAAAATTAGCTGGGCATGGTGGGCACCTGTGATCCCAGCTACTTGGGAGGCTGAGGTAGGAGATTCCCTTGAACCCGGGAGGCGGGGGTTGTAGTGAACTGAGATTGTGCCATTGCACTCCAGCCTGGGCAAAACAGCAAGATTCCATCTCAAAAAAAAAAAAAAAAAAAGCCAAATACGTTTTCTAGGCCAAAGCGGGAGCAGAGGAGGGTCTCAGCACCACCTTTAAGGTGAGTTTTACGAGATGCCAGGTAGACCCCCCCCAATAATAACAGCAGAAACTGTAATGGAAATGTCTCATATTTATAGGGTACATACAGGAGCCAATGCTATGCCTATCCACTATATCTCTTTCAATCCTCACAACTTCCTTAAGGGACTGACACTCACATCACCCCTTTTTACAGATGAGAAGACTGATGTCACTATACCTTCCTCTCACTCTCTGTGACCCATTTCTTTGGGTGTTAAGAAATCTTCTGGGAGAGAAAGTAGTTGAAACTTCCAGGCTAAAGTGTTGGAGAACCCCAGGCAGACTCCATCATCCCTAAAAATAACGACAGTTATAATAGGCGAGTCTCACGTTTATAGGGTGTGTGATTTGGGTGCAAAAGTAATTGCAGTTTTTGCCATTGAAAGTAATGGCAAAGAGATATAGGGTACAGATCAAAGCAGCAGCTGAAAGATTGGGGCTGTGAATAGGGTCACTTTAGGACTGAAATGCTGGGATGAGGATGGGAAGAGGCCCTTAAAGGGAAGAATGGGAGAAGGGCACTGGGGAGGGCAAGCCTGGTGCTGGGGTGGGTAACCTGTGTGCAGTGTCTTGTGCCCACCACAGCTGCCTGGATCAGTATATGGGCAGATCCAGGTTTCCTCAAATGCAGCCAGCACAAGGTGGCACCAGAGGAGCCAGAGGTGGAATCCAGCCCCTAGCAGGCATCTCTCCTCCACCACG